AAACAATAAAAGTTTATACTGTACTTGTTTGACAATTAAGTAAAGGAAAGGCTTCTTCTTCTTCTTCTTCTTCTTCTTCTTCTTCTTCTTCTTCTTCTTCTTCTTCTTCTTCTTCTTCTTCTTCTTCTTCTTCTTCTTCTTCTTATTTTTCTTCTTTACTATTACTATTAATATTATTATTACTATTACTATTACTACTATTGTTGTTATTGTTGTTGTAGTATTATTGTTATCTATAATTTATACAATTAACCTTCCTATGATTCGATCTCGGTCTTGTTGGATTATTTATTACTTCTACACTCCTACACTTAGGAGAAGACATCAATCTTTTGGTCATGTCAACAACCAAGATGCCTAAATGCATAGCAAATGCTTCTTTTTTAGGTCAAAATTCAGAATTATTGATTTGATGACTAATTGTTGAGTGCATGACCACATCTTGACTTGGTGACAATTCTTATCTTTTTTTCTGAACAAAACATAATTGTTAACATCAAAATTTGAACATATATTCCTCGTGAAAATTCTGGAAAATTGTCTCAGCTTTCCAACAAAACTAGAATCAACACATTTGCACTTTTAGAACTCGAGATATGAGTTGAACACTAAACAGTATCTAAGTTGCAAGACAGATTATGACTTTTTCGTTGTTGCTATCATTTGAATTTACAAATGACACTTTTAAATCTTGAACTCTTATGAAAGTTTTAGGCTTATGTCTTAGCTTTCCAAACATATAAATTAGATCTAAATCCAAGTTCTACAACTCCTGTTGTGATCCAATAATCGAATGGTGATCCAGTTTGGACTGAACCAACATCTTTTTCATGATCCAATAATCGAATGGTGATCTAGTTTGGACTGAACCAACATCTCTTTCTAAGCTTAGCTCTCTCTGTGTTTTATCAATTTCAGTAGTTAAACTCATTAATTAATCTTTTGATTTATATGATAGGCTTACATTTAAGATGAACATTTACCATAAATTAAAGGTATCTTATATTATTAAACATGTTATTATAAAATATACTTTAGTTAAGAAATTATTAATACTTCAAGTATAAATTAATAATATAAAACTTTGATAAAAATATACTTTTAAGTACTAATCACCAACAATCAAGCATGTAATGGCTAAGAAAAATAAGAAAAATTGTTTGTGTTTGTTGTCTCTGTTTTCAAGCTTATAACCGTTAGAAAATATATCCTTTAACTTAAGCTTTCTTTTCTATAATAGACTTCACAAGTTATTTATATATATGGAACACTGATGTGTGTATTCATTAGAGTTTGCAATACAATTGTTCTCTTGAAAGTAAACAATATGTGCAAAAACTACTCTCAACACAATTATCGAACTGTGTAGATTTCTGCTAAGCTACAAATTTTGAAGGAACAAAAGTCTCAATTACAAGATATAACGAAACTCACAGAAAGAAGCTATTATTTATGTTTGTAACGGCAACATGCAATTCAAATTGTGGTATGACAGAAGCTGTGATCCCATAGCATCTTTTGTAACAAGACAATGGATGTATGCCCATGTATAATTCATACAAACCTGCAGGGGAAGACAAAGATCAAGGCAGAGATTATAGTGTAACACTACAAAAAAGATCAATGCAGATTATACTATAACACCAATTAATAGACTAACAGCTCAAGACAATGAATGTTCCACGACTCAAATACCATGCAAGCACATGTTGGATCAATGGGACGAGTATCCTCGGCCATTGATTTGTGTTTAAGTTTCAGCAATCCCTGCATGAAGTGCTTCGATGTCAGAAGCTTCAACTAAAACTGGGTTTATTTTTCAATTGATTAGAACGGACATTTACAGCAATATACTGTTAAAGTAAGTCCACAGTAATTATTTTATAAAAAGTTCATGATGTGGTAACATGAAGTATTTCCTAGCGAAGCAAACACTGCTTATAAAGCTGCAAGTTATTAGATACAAACGACTCCAAAGCATGAAGAGTGGACAGATACGATTTACATTTGTTTCAAAAGACAAGGTGAAACATAATTCACTACCAGGGTCAAACAGAAACAAGAAAAATTTGGATGAATATAGATAAACAAATCACTCAAACATATTCAGCGTAGTAGACTAGGCAAAGATTCTGCCAAAACAAAAGGCATAGAATACAGCATACACAATTCAAATGGCCTCTTAAACCCAATGGCCCAGGTTCACCTGTTTATAATAACTGAAAGACAGGAAAATCCAGTACAAAAAGAAAATAGAAAGTACTATTTGATTAAAGCCAGAAACCATAACAAAACAAGTCCATTGAAATGTATGGTTATAGCGCATCAAAGCAGCAGCATCTTGAACAGTGTGAAGATTTGGTCTTCATAGTGTTTTCGAAATTCAGTTCACATATTTTAAGAAAAAGAAAACAAGAAAACATCACCTCTGGTACAAGAGCTGTGCCAAAACGAGCAGTACGAGTGGGACAAACAGAGTCATATATGTCAGCACCTAAAGCACTGCAAACTACAATATCCAGTGGATAACCAACACCCTGAGTGCAGGTAAGTATAAATGAAAGACAAATTAGAAAAGCAAAGCAGCTAACAATTCCTCAATCAACCAAGTTTAAAGAACGCAAGTTAAAATAATAAATGTTGTTTTTACCATCACACATCGTGGTTTATCTTCAGGCATCAGAGCAGTACACTGAGCAACAACTCGCCAAAATGAATCTTTATAGCTGTCAAAGAAGCAAACTCAGTTAATTTTGATAAAACAACTCAGTTAATTTTAATAAAACAATCTCAGAACATAAATTGAAGTTAAATAAAACAATAAAAAGAACATCTACAAGTGAAAAAATAATAACAAGCATTAAGTACCGAGAGACCTGAGATTGAACAAGCAATAAGCTGCTCTATCTCACAGAAAGTAATGATACATTTGCAGGCTTTCAAAGGGAATAACTTTGTATTCTATAATTAGAGAATTTGATGGATTTGACAGTGACAGCTAACTACATTTAACACCCACGACTTGCGTCTGTAAAATGGTTCTACATAATGTAATAAGTAGTAATGGATAACTTGACATATAAAGCTACCTAGTTTGATTTTGGAAAATGACATTTCATCTAATTTCCTTGCGTTATTTTTTTCTGCAAAGCAAGCAACAAAGGGATCGCTTGAAATTTGTTAAGCCATGTGCCATGAATAAATTCAATGGTTCAAAACACCAATCAAGCTCAAGGGCGCTAGCAATAAAAAGGAAGGACCAAAATGAATGATGATAGATAAATCAGTAATTCTGTCCGCATAACCTTTAACTGCTGAATTAACGTTATCCTACAAAAGAATGAATGAACATATCCAGGTAAATTCCTCTCCACCAAGCCTCTAACACATATATCCCTGATTATTTGGTTAGACAGACAATGGTAAGTTATACCAGCAGCAAAATATTTAAAAAAAAAAAAAAACAGAAGAGAATAGAATACGCGCAGCAAAATATTTAAAGAAAAAAAAAACAGAAGAGAATAGAATACGCACCAAGCAAAGAGAGCAGTTTAAGTAAATTCACCTTAGTACAGGATCCAAACCACCTTGAACAATACCAAATAAATTTTGCTCATTTGGCCTCTTGTGATGCTTCAATCACCGGTTAAAATTTCCTTATTTATGGTACACTACACCAAGAACAGGAAAAAGAGAGTAACGGACACCCAAACTAGACAGTTTAGGACTAAGAGGTTAGTAATTTGTTCCATGTTCGAAAAGAATCCGAGAGATCCCATGAATATGTGCTGATGAAGCATTTGTGGAGAATTTACTATGTAATTCAGGGTGAACTTGAAGTTTTCTAGTTTGTTGGCCAAGTGGGGTTTTGAGGATCGTTCAGAGCTCCATCTTTTACAAATTTGGAGAAAGGATAAGTTTACTAAATCACATCTGCTTCTGCTTCCCTCCAAAAACTGAAACTTGAAGCTTCTTATTTTGATTGTTTTTTTCAAGTGCAGTTTGAAGAGGAGTAAACTGGAAGAAGACTCCGTGTTCTCTCCTATATGCTGAAGTATTTTCCCTTTTTGAAGGCCCTACTGATTCTCTTATTGAGATGGGCCAATAACTTTATTTCAGCACTATAAGCGACAAGAGCATCAGAGTTTTTGTATAAAACATGACAGATTTTTTCAGTTCTGTTGGGCCATCCAAATCCTGTTTGCTTTTATAATATCGCATGATAATTTCCTGAAAGATGATATGGTTCACAAAGTTAAGGTTATTAGATTAGGACCTGTGGTATTTCTTGCTGATTCAGATGAAATCTGGAATAAGCTTACATGATTGTTGAACTTAAAGCAACAAGGAAGCAAATGCCTTTTCAACATATTTCCTCTGTAGGAGTTTTGAAATTATTGCTTCAACTGTAGTGTTTGTCTTCTGTCTAGGGAACACATTAAGTTGACCTTATTCCTTAGCGATCCTTCACCCTCGAGGACCTGGGACTGTTTATGTTGCATGCATATATTGTTTTCTGTTCTGTTCTGTCAGTGCCTGTTCCTGTATGATTTATTTCTCATTCTTCCTCTTTTACTAAATGCAGGGTCATTGAACATCATGTGGATGGATTTAGATGTGACCTTGCCAGTGTACTCTGCCGAGGAATAAATGGGTCTCCACTTGACGCTCCTGAGAGGTTTTTGCCCGTCTGAATTTATATTTGTCAGAAGTGAATTGATATTCTTTTAATTTGCATAGAAGAACATGATTTTGAAACGAGTCTAGAGGTATTATGATTGTTTTTATTATTATAATTTTAAAAAAATTATTTTTAATTGAGATTGATTTGTTGAAATATATTTTTAATTAAAATTGTAATTAAAATTAAGATTAAATAAAAAAAATAGTTTAATATATTTGGTTAAGAATATTTTTTAAATTAAGGTTATAAAATAACTAAAAAAACATATATTAATATTAATAGTTTTTAATTGAAATGTTATAGATTTAACTACTATTATTATATCATGAAATAAATAATATTTTATATAAAATATTTTTTATTGTTTCATTAAACTATCTCCAATTTTATCCGATAATAACTACAGAAATAATATTTTATATAAAATATTTTTTATTGTTTCATTAAACTATCTCCAATTTTATCCGATAATAACTACAGAAATAATATTTTATATAAAATATTTTTTATTGTTTCATTAAACTATCTCCAATTTTATCCGATAATAACTACAGTTTTCATGGTTTTCTGAGTGTGCAACAACATCGCGTAAAATATCATTAGGAATAAAATTAGAATTGCGATCAAATTATACAAATGTTACGTTATCGTGTGATTTCTTTCTAATATAATTATATAGTGTTATTTAATAATATTAAATACTAGCTTTTTAAATAAAATATAATATTTAAAAAATTTTAAAATTTTTATTTTACTAGATGAAGCCAGTTAAATACATTTAAGTTTGAATATTAATAATAAAGACGTTTTTCATTGTTCTTCACTCTCCTTCACTGTTTACTATTTACTCTTCATTGTTTATTTTATAGAATAGTGGAGACTGGAAAATATAAAAGGAAAAGGCAAACAACAATGGAGACGAGAGGGTTGTTTTGAAAAAAATTTGCAATGGTTTCATTGCCGTTTGGCAAGAGGTAAGAAAAGGAAACAAAGGGGAACAAGGATGAAAAATTGAAAAATTACAGGATTTTTCTGGATCTTAAGAATGGAGACCTCTCTGTTGTTGTGTGAAATTTGTGTAATGATTAATTATCTGTACAATTGGTGAAGGAGAGAGGAGAGCACGATCTCACGAAAAACGATGGTCTTTCAAGAAATTAAGTTTGAACCTCAGTTTCAAATGAAACCTGCAACAATAAAAATATAGCTAATATCTAACCAAATATCTATAAACAGCATCGTAGCGCCAAACGCAGTTTGTTGCACAAGCAGAACGTTGGGTGTAATTTTTATTGGAAAAGGCCAGGCCATTACTTTAGAATGTTGATAGGTTCTTAACACGCATTCATGTGGTCTTTTGGCTTATATAGTCAAAACAGTGAATTTTGTGTTAGGGTGCTGGAATACAAACCCGACAAAATAAAAGATAAGAAACAAGATAAAATAAGAAATGGAACACACAAGAATTTACGTGGTTCATCCAATTGGGTTACGTCCACAGACAAGTATAGAAGGATTTTACTAAGTAATGTAGGAATTACAACCTCTCTCGAATAATAGGAGAACAACTAAGAATCTCTCTATTATTAGGAGAAAACACCTCACTTACTCTATCACAAATACCTCACAATTTTGTGGGATTACTCTCTTTTCACTCTCTTTTCACTCTCTTCTTCTTCTCTCTATTTGGATGTGCATATAGGCTTGAATGCATTGCCTATTTATAGGCAAGAGTGAGGGTATAATGGTCATAAATTTAGGAGGAATATATGCTTAACAACTCATCCTCCACTCATTATACCAACTCATCCTCCACTCATCCTACAACTCATCTCCCACGATTACAACTCATCTCCCACTCAAATGCCATTAATTATGTCACCTAAATACATGACTTTACATTCTCCCACTTGAAGACTTTGATGAGTTAATCAAGTCTTCACACTTGATCTTTTGTGATTCTTCTATCATTTCTATACTTGTCATCTTCATGCTGCTTACGTTTCTGCTAGG